GATTGCTGGTTGTGCCCGAGTCAGTTTTCCCATTCAAGCTGTTCCTTCTACTGGACGCCACATCGCTCCAGGAGATTGGCCGCGTTCGGGCAGATTTGGTGGCGCGCCCGTGCGCGTGGGATCCGATTCCCAAGGAATGTGTCGAGCAGTTCCCCAGCGCAGAAGTTCTCCACGGCCCAGTCGCCAGAGCCGAACTTCTTGTCATGGCAATGCAGATCGATCTCGACATCGCGCGGATTGAATCTAGGCGGGGCCGCGTTCGTCGGGCGCAGAGGGCCATGAGCGTTCAGGGCCCAGCGTCTCCACTTGACGCGATCTCCGCGCTCTTCGCGCTGCAGGGCGTCAAGCTTCATCGCGGGGCCGTGGGGCACATGACTGATGCCGTGGAGAACCAGAGGACATTCTCTGCTCGCTGGGCGGATGCCTCCCAGCAGCAGAAGGTCAAGATGCATTCCAGATTTAGCGCCTGGGCAGCTTTCTCCCGCGACCTGTGGCGCCGCCACAAGGCCGCGCATCTCCGCGGCCCCTTTGCCCCGCCCACCGCGGGGGCCCCCTGCCCCCCGGTTGCCCGTTGGTTCGGGGCCCAGTGGTTCTGGGCCCCGAGTCAGCGGCCAGCGGCCATCAATCGCATCGTGCTCAAGACGCTTCGCGTAGGCCTGCAACCTCATCCAGTAACGATGCCCAGGCGAGTTGCCGCGGGCCTCATCAGGGATGCAGAGGAGCATGTAGTGAAGTCAAGTAATCAAGGGCTGGGTAAGATATCGCACCGCAAGAGAGCGCCGCGGGCAGTGGAGAATGGATCAGAGTTGGAGGACGAAGAGAGGGATGAGGAGGAGGAGGAGAAGGAGGAGGAGGAGGGGGAGGAGGAGGAGGAGTAAGAAGAAGAGGAGGAGGAGTCAGCAGACGGGCAGGGGGCAGGGGGGGAGGGGGAATGAGGGAGGGGGAATGAGGGCAGCAAGGGGGGCGCGCCCCCCCCCCCCCCCCCCCGACAAGGGGGGTTGGTTTGGACAGCAGGGGCCCTCTAAACAATTCGCGTCACGCCCTAAAGGGCTGGCGCGATCTCCGTCGACCCCCCTCGCCCGAGAAGGCAGATCCCGAGAAGGGGCACTTCGGCAACGTGCACTTCCGGGCGTTCGCCCAGGAGGCAGCCGCGAAGTGGCGAGAGCTCGCGCAGGCGCAGAAGGGCGAGTTTCAGCGCGGGGCGGGCGCCGCCGAGCGCGCCTTCACCGCCGCCAGTTCCAAGACGTCGGCATGGGCGACTTTCGATGAAGTGGCGGCCCAGCGGGGCACTCCAAACCTACCGCCCCGCGCATGTCCAGGGGGCGCCAGGAATGCGCGGGATGACCGAAATGAGCAGACCACTAAAGTAGGCACTTAGGGCATTGGGCATGGGAGGGGATCGAGCGGAAGGAAAAGGAGAGGAAGAGGGGGGGGGGGGCAGGGGATAATGCGGACAAGTAGATAGCGAGAAGGAGGAGGAGGAGTCCGAGCAGGAATCGCAATACGTAAACTACGAATAGGAAATATGTGGGACCAGGACCCAGGACCCCCAGGGGCCCAGCAGGACTGTATTGAAGTAAGCAAGTAGAGGAAGTTCAGCAGCAGTAGGAGGAGGGGGGAAAGGTGAGCAGCAAGGACCCACGCCCTCTTGCTGCCTGCCCCTGGCCGCCCCTGGCCGACCCTCGCCCCAGGTGGGCGCCGGCCGCAGGGCGTTCGACCGGCGCATGTCGTCGGCTGCCGGCGAAGGCCACCCCCGGGTGATGTCGAGAGCAGGGCCCCCTCTGTGAGATCAGGGGGGAAGGGTGGGTGGGGTGGGGGTGCAGGAGGGGGGATTCAGTTAAGTGAGATGGCACTCGGACAGGCATGAGAGTGAGTGAGAGAGAGAGAGAGAGAGAGAAAAAAAAAAAAATACAGAAATAGAAAAGGGAATGGAGCCAGAGAGAACAAACAAGAAGAGGGAGAGAGAGAGAGAGAGAGAGAGAGAGAGAGAGAGAAGAGAGAAAGAAGAGAGAGAGAGAGAGAGAGAGAGAGAGAGAGAGAGAGAGAGAGAGAGAGAGAGAGAGAAAGAGAGAGAGAGAGAGAGAGAGAGAGAGACATATATATATATAAAATAAACGGAGAGAACTCGAGAGAGTCAGTCGTTCCAGAATCTAGAATATATATAGAGAGAGAGAGAAAGAGAGAGAGAGAGAGAGAGAGAGAGAGAGAGAGAGAGAGAGAGAGAGAGAGAGAGAGAGAGAGAGAGAAGAGAGAGAAGAGAAGAGAAGAGAGAGAGAAGAGAAGAGAAGAGAAGAGAAGAGAAGAGAAGAGAAGAGAAGAGAGAGAGAGAAGAGAGAGAGAGAGAGAGAGAGGAGAGAGAGAAAAACAAAGAGAAGAGAAGAGAAGAGAAGAGAAGAGAAGAGAAGAAAGGAGAAGTGAAAAGAGAAGAGAGAAGAGAGAAGAGAGAAGAGAGAAGAGAGAAGAGAGAAGAGAAGAGAAGAGAGAGGAGGAGAGAAGAGAGAAGAGAGAAGAGAGAAGAGAAAAGAGAGAACAGAGAAGAGAGAACAGAGAGAGATAGAGAGAGAGAGAGAGAGAGAGAGAGAGAGAGAGAGAGAGAGAGAGAGAGAGCGAGGCAACGGGGGAACGAGGGGGGCGGGGCGGGGCAATTTCCCAGGGGGTGACGGTGAAAGGCGAAGGCACGGCGAAGTGGAGGGGGGGGGTCGGCTGTTCTCCCCCCCCCGCCGCCTCCTCCCCCTCTCCTCCTCTCCTCCTCTTCCCCCCCCCCCCCCCCCCCCCCCACCCCCCCTCCCTCCGCTCTGCCGCCGCTTGCTGCTGTCTTTTCTCCTCCCCTTCCCCCTCCTTCTCCTCCTCCTCTTCCTCCTCCTCCTCCTCCCCCTCCCCCCCCCCCCCCCCCCCCCCATCCCGTCGCTTCCATTCTCCCCCGTCGCCTCTCGTTCTCTCTCTCTCCTCTCACTTTTTCTTCCTCCTTATCCTCTTTCTCTTCCCCTCCTCCTCCTCCCCCTCCTCCTCTTCCCCCCCCCTTCTCCCCCTCTTGTTCTCTGGTCTGGTTCTCTGGTTGCATTCAGCCTTGTTTTGCTCGCAGCGCTGAGGGCCATTCCCAGACAGGCGCGACTCGTTTCCTTAATTTTGATTTCTGGGGGGGGGCGGGCACGGAGGGGGGAGGGGGCGAGGGCTGGCGCGTCTCGCAGGAGGTGGGCCGCGCGGCGCCGAGAGGCCCCCGCGGGCGCGAGCCCGGAGCACAAGCGGGGCCGGGAGACTCCCGGCTTGAAAAAAAGAAGAAGAAGAAGAAGAAGAAGATGGAGAAGAATATATAAACGAGAAAAAAAGAATAATAATAATGACATATATATATATATATATATATATATATATATATATATATAACAAAAAAAACGGTGGTCCAGGCGCGGGCCGGGGGGGGGGCTCGGGGCCCAGCGGCCGTCGCATCCAGCGGCGCTGCCGCGCGATTCCGCCACCGCGCCCGGGCGGGGGCTGGGGGGGGGGGGGGACTTGGGGCCCAGCGGCCGTCTTATATTATTAATTAAAGGCGCCCCCCCTCTGCTCCAGGGCGCGGGGGCGCAGATTCGCCGTGCGCCATTTTTAATTCGCATTATACTAGGAGTAGGGGCGGCGAACCAGCGATCGCCGATCTGCGTCGTTTTCTGCGGTCGGGCGCCCAACCGCGGCGGCTCCACGACGGTTCCACGACGGTTCCGAGAGGTTGACATGTCACGAAACCGTATGAATTCAAATGGTTCCACGACGGTTCCACGACGGTTCCGACGTCGCAAGTGCGACGAAACCTTATGAATCCACCGGGTTCCACAACGGTTCCACGACGGTTCCACGACGGTTTCGACGTCGCAAGTGTGACGACACCCTATGAATTCACATTGTTCCACGACGGTTCCACGACGGTTCCACGACGGCTCCGACGTCGCAATTGCGACGACACCATATGATTTCACATGGTTCCACGACGGTTCCACGACGGTTCCGACATCGCAAGTGTGACGACACCTTATGAATTCACACGGTTCCTGCTTCGTTCCACGCTGGTTCCACGATGGTTCCGACGCCGCAAGTGAGATCAAACCTTATGAATTCACACGGCTCCTGCTTGATTCCACGCTGGTTCCACGATGGTTCCGACGTTGCAAGTGTGACGGAACCTTGTGAATTCAAAGGGTTCCTGCCTTCCCAGAGAAAGCGCGCTCGCGCGCTGTCGCACCTGTTCGAAATTGTAATGTTGCGTTCTTTTTTCCAGTAGACATTTGCCGAGGGCACGTGGGGGCCCCTCCTGGGGCCTTCAGCGACTCGGGATCACCGACGCCACGGCCTCAGCGGCAAGGACAGGCGGTCGGGATCCCAGTGGGGGCCGCTGCCTCCCGAGTTGTTGAAGGTACTTGGGGGGGCGGCCGTCGCGCGCCCTCAGCTGGTTTCACCCCGGGGGGGTCCATGTGATTCAGCGCGAGTGAGCCCCAGCGCGGGGCGAGTGAGCCCCAGCGCGGCGCGCCCGGGTCTGCGTAGGCCTGCGCGTGAGTGAGCCCGGGGGGGGTGCATGTGAATGAGCGCGCGTCTGATCACGGGTGCATCTGAGCATGAGTGCGTCTGCGCATTAGCGCGGTCTCAACGTGAAGAAGGTGCGTGGGCGTGAGCAAGTATGGTTACGAGTGGGTCTAGCCGTCAGCGGCCGAGCAGGAACGGGTCTGGGCGCGAGTGGGTCTAGGAACGATTGATTAATATTAATTGTCATGGCGCCCCTGTGCTCCAGGGCGCAGGGCGCAGATGCGCCGCGCACCACCTTTAATTAATATTATAATAAAAGTAGGGGCGGCGAACCGTAGCACCCCTGGCGCCCTTGCTCTCTTCTTCCTGGCACCCCTCCTCTCTTCCTCCTCGCCCCCCCTGGCACCCCTCCTCTCTTCCTCCTCGCTGTCCGTGGCCGCCTTGGCCATGGCCTCTCGCGCGCGGCGCCGGGCGCCCCCTGGCCTCGCGACATGTCGGAGCAGGCAGCGCTGAGCAGGGCGTGGTTCGCGGGCAAGGAGGGCGGCCTCTGCGGGCGAGCAAGCGCGGGCGCGGGCGCTCCGCGAGGTGCGGCGCGAGGAGGGGAAGAGCGACTACGGCGCGATGTCCTTCGTGGCCAGCCGCGCGAGGAAGACGAAGGCCGGGAAGCCCTCCGGCGACCATCCTACATCGCAGTCCATCAAGGAGTTCTTCACCCTGGGAAATTAGCAGAGGGGGGGCTCCGCGGCCGGAAGCGCGTCCTGCGGGGCCCGAAGCAGACCGCCATTGTGGCGGCGGCGAAGCGTCTGAAGAAGCAAGGCGAGGAGCCCACGTACGCTGCCATCGCGGCCGCGTGCCCGACGGCTGCCCTGAACCCCGACGCGGAGCAGCCCGTCGGTCGACCGAAAACTAACTTCTATCAGAATGAAAAGTAGCGCGTATAAATAGTGTATCGGTCGCAGTTCTAGTAGCAGACCGATCTCAGGCGTCTAGATACTGCAGACTAGCGCTCCTGGTCAGTTTCGGTCGTTTGGTCTGCATCTCAGCTCCGTAGCTCGCCTACAGCTCGAAATTAGTAGAGAACAGAAACATCGTGCCTTACAAATTTGAAGAGCGCGAATAGTTCTTCCAGTAGCTCTGGTCGTAGACCGATCTTAGACGTCTCGATAGTGTATACGTACGCGCCTGATCATTTCATGTTGGAAGGTGTGCGTCTCAGCACCGTAGCTCGCCTACATCTTTAGTTAACTAGAGAAAACCAGCATCGTCTCTCAAAGAGTTACAGAGTGCAAATAGTTGCTCGGTCGCAGCTCTGGCAGCAGACTGATTTCAGGCATCCCCGATGCTCCGAATGAAGATTATGCCATTCCCTTTCGATGTTGTGCCCTTAAGCCCATAGCTCGCCTAGAGTTCGAAAGAAGTCGAGAACACCAACATCGTCGCTGAAAAAAAATCCAAAACGATTTTTGGTCGCAGCTCTCGTAGCAGGCAGGTTTCAGGCGTCTGCATACTTGATATTAAAAGTTCTTGTCATTTTCTCTCAGATGTTGTGCAGTTCGCTTCTAAGAGTAGCCTGTAGCTCGAGCTATCTTCCAAAAACCACCAGAAGGATCCTTAAACAACAGAAATGACAAATCCCGCTTCGTTGATTTTTCTAATAATTTCCACCCGATTGACCTGAGATCAAGATGGCGAGCGGGAACAAGATCATAGATATGGGCAACAAATACTAGAGCTCGGACGAATGGTTGAATTTCGAGAGCGAAATTTTCAACCGAGGCCTCTTCGCCAAAACTTCCGTCGAGATTTGTCGAGCCAACTAGCCCGCCGGCGTTGTGGAAATACTTCAGAGCTGAGCCGCTTCGCTCATGGGGAAGCTCTGCGAGGTATTTCGTTCGTTTCTGCAGTGATTATGCTTTTTTTAGGGCATTGCCGACTCGCGCGCTATCACTGCAGCATTCCTTCGCTTCCGCATTATTATATGGGGAGGAGGAGGAGGAAGAGGAGGGAGGGGGGGGGGAGGGCGGAAGAGGGAGGAGGGCGGGGGGGGTCCGCCCAGCCACCCCGCCGCAGTTGCTGCTTCACGATCGCGCCCGTGAGTTCATCGACCTCATCGGCAGCAGGGCCAAGATGCAAATTGAGGAGGGGTTGGGATGGTGAGCGACCGAAGAACGGAAGTTATAACATTAACTTTTTCGCTGTCGAGGGCGCCGCCCCAGGGCGGCTGGGAAGTTTATACTTTGACGTGCCGCCGTAAGGGTATGAACTGTCTAGCCGCCGCCCTTGGACAGGCGCCCCCGACATCACAAAAGTTTATGTTGTAACTCCCGTTCTTCGCGCGTTAAGATGGCATGCGGCATGCGCCCGCCAATCCACCCCCTTCTTTAGGACGCTGTTCGGACAGGTTTCGTGGCCCCGTTGGGGGCCAGTGCCGGCATTTCCGCTGGCTACGCCCCCAGAAGCGGTTGTCGCATGGTTGATCGGTTAGGGGCATTTTCTGTTTCTTGTTTGTGATTTTTGCCGCTTCACGCGGTTTGAATGCCTGCTGCGTTGTTGCGCGCATGTGCGGAGCAGCGGCCGAGCGCCCATGCCAAAGGAGGGGGCGCCCAGGACAGAGGAGGGAGAGACGGAGAGGGCGTGCTGCGCTTCGCGAGCGACGACCGTCAATGAAGTCCTGTGGGTTCTGGGCTCAAGTCCTGTCCCTCTTCCCTCTACAGGGGGAATTTTCAAAAATAGTCTGGGGGCGTTTTTTCTGTTGTCGAAAACTGTAAAACAAAAAACAACAAGACTCGGAGGTTCGCGCGGATATCTCGGATCGGCGCTGGACCCCCGCGCCAGGGGCGGCGCCGGCGCCGCGGGGGGGGGGGTCCAGCGCGGGCCCGAGAAATCCGCGCGGATCTCTGAGTTGTCATGTTCATGGCACTGCTCGTTCCCCTATCTGATGGGTATGTTTTCCACCGCCACCGCCGCCGTAAGCTGGAGGGGGGGGGGTCCTCCTCCTCTTCCTCCTCCTCCTCCTCCTCCTCCTCCTCCCTCCTGCCCCCCCCCTCCAACGCATGGTGGCGGTGGTGGTGGAGAACAGGCCCATCGCCACCTGCTGCCTCGAGGGCCCCTCGCGGCCCCCCTTGCGAGAGAGAGCGCCCGCGGGGGAAGCGCTCGTGCCGGGGCGGCCCCGCTCCGCGGGCGGCGCGCCAGAGGCCGGACAGGGAGGCCGCCGGCGGCCAGGCGAGCCGCTGCAGGCGCGGAGGGGGGCCTGGCGGTGGCACGGCCGTCGGCCCTTCGAGCAGGAGGGGAAAAAACTTACACAGACACAATGAATCGCCGATTCCCCAGAAGACATGGGGAAACATGGGAAGGAGGGGGGGGGCATAACCCCAGAGAATAGGGGAGAAGAGGAGAGATATTTTTGTTTGTGTGTGTTTATTTGTATGTCCTGGGGCCTTGCCTTCGAGCCTGCGCGCTCCTCGGGCCGGGCGACAGGGGAGGGATTGGGAAGGGGGGGGGGGCGCGAAATCTGCGGCACGCCGCCGGTTTCGGCCTCGCCGAGGGGCCCATTCCTCGATGCAGAGCCGCCTCCGGCGCCGGGAGGCGTCGGGAAAATCGGCTACGTGAGCTGATTCTCAACCCCACCCCCGCTACCCCCCCCTTTCGCCCGACCCGAGCTCCGCGCGGTGGCGGGGGCCAGCACGCAGGCCGTCGCGACGCGAGCCCGCCGCGCGTCACAGGTTTGAAACCTATCCCCATGCCTCTGTCTGGCGTCGCCCTACCTCGGCGCCAGTCCGGAAGGTTCCACCCCGCCTTCCTGAGGGCGCGCCTTTAAGATTGTCGTCGCGTTTGGCTTGCCGATCATAGGGGCAGGGATCAGCTCGAGCCTGGTTAGTACGGTGCCCTTCCTTAAAACGACACGAGGATCGGGACAACATCGGATCGGGATAACTCGAAATCTCTGAGAATCGGCGGGTTTGGAGGATGCATTGGGCGCCGCGGCCGCTCCAGAGCGTTCTGGAACGCTCTGAGAGCGCTCCGGAACGCTCTGGAGCGATTTATCCCGATCTTAGCCTTGTTTTACCCTCGCCCCAGTCGTCCTCGCCCCCAAACCTAAACCGCCCTAAGTGTCATCTAGAACATTTGCATCTGGCACTTAGAACTTGTCCGTCTCTGGGCCAATTGGCCTTGGCGTAGCGCGAACCTGAGCCGATGAGGACTTACCCTCCCCAGAAAGAAAACCCCATACGAAAGTAGCCGCATGGTATCGGTTTCAAAATGGAGCCGTGTTGGGCAACATTGAGGCCATATGTGTCGTCTTTGAGCCATAAGGGATCATCTTGGAGTTGGATTGAAACCAACATGGGGTCATGGGATCATCTTGGGTCATGTCAGGGTCGACTCGGCGTCCGGTGGCGTTCCTGGCCCCATCTTAGCGTCAGAGGGTCCTTATTTGGGTATTGTTGGGGTTCTTGGGGCCACCTTGGGACCATCTTGGAGTCGCGAAATCGCATTGCACTTGTGCCGCGAAATCGCATTGGGGTCATCATGGGGCCCTGATGGGGTCGTTTTGGAAGCATCGCGGGGTCACAGTGGATCGCCTTTTCGTCGTGGGGTCATCCTGGTGTCGCGTTAGGGTCCTGGGGCCATCCCAGGAAGACGGTGTCGCGTGAAGGTCGCCTGGGGATCGCGCTGCGACCGCGGGCCGCGACAAACCTCCTCGCTATCCTACGTTGCGGAGGGGGGGCAGCAAAGCAGCGTGATCACAGCCTGGCGGCGCGGGGTCGGTGGTCTGACCCTGGTGACAAAATCTATGTTTGGGAGGGTTGCAGGGCGCGTGGCGACTGCGGGTTGTGCCAAGATGGCCACGTGGCCAAGGGGGGGGGGGGGGGGCAGAAAAATATACAGAGGAATGATGGGCAGCGAGGGGGGCAGGAGGAGCAGGCGGAGGAGGAGGAGCAAGTGGGAGGAAAGGGAGGACACGGAGGGCGATTGAATATTTGGAAATACGAGGAGGAGGTGGAGCAGGAGGTGGACCAGAAAGAGGGGCAACAGGGGGGCGATGGGATAGAGGAGGGAAGGAGGATAGCGAGGAAGAAATGAACCCAATCTGATAAGTGATAAGGAGGGGGAGGAGCAGGAAGAGGCTGCGGAAGAGGAGGAGATGGTAAGTTGTGTTTGCCACTGAGGTACCCAGAGGCCTCCAGAAGTCCCCGGGGGCCTCTAAATTGCCAGAAACGTCAAACCAGTTACAGGCAGCTGCCATAACAAAGCGCTCGCCCCTGGGTCCTCGAGCGCCGGGGCCTCGCTGCTGCCTCTGCCACTGCTGTTATGCGCTGCCTCTGCCGCTGCTGCTATCGCCGGCGTAGCTGTTGCAGCTGCTGTTTTCGCCGCTGCTGTTTCTTATGATGCCAGCTTCGCGCTCTGATGCTCGTCGTGGTGCTGCTGCTGCGCCGCCCTCCCGAACGACAACTTGATGGATGTAGGCCATAGGTTCATGGCGTTCTCTTGGGATCGTTGCGACGTCGCATTGAGGTCATTACGTTTTGGGATCACCTTGACGTCGTATGGGAACCATCCGGGAGTCGTTCGGAGGTGATGCATCCAGGACCGAAGAACCCACGTCGGGCACCGATGATTGATCAGTACAGATGGAAAAGTCAGGACCGAGCATCGGGGATGCAGCATCATGGACCGATGTGCAAGGATGGCGCATCGCGGATATAACATCAAGGGTTGAATCGAACATCGCAGATCGAGCATCGAGGGTCGAACCCACAAGCCCTGTAGGGCGTGAAGTGGTCTGGGGGGTTCACTATTCCTTCGGATTAAATCTCTCCCCCTATCACTTCCCTGGGCCCCCCCCGCAGAAACCATGCAATGCCCGGCAAAGCGCCCCTGCAAAGACCATACAAAGACCCCATGCGATACTCTGCAAAGACCCTTGCGAAGACCTCTGCAATGCCCTGCATGCCGGATCCCTGCAATAACATGCACAGACCCTGCAATATAATGCGATGACATTGCAATGCCCTGCAATGACCATGAAAACCATCAGCCCTCTGGGCGCGGGTCGTTGAACTCTTCCACCCCCCGAATGCATGCAGGTGGCCCGTGCGCGCCCAGGCCCCGAGAGGGCCCCTAGAGGGCCTCAAGAGTTCCCAAGACGGCTCCAAGAGGGCCCGAGAGGCCCCGGGAGAGCCCCAAGGGGGCCCCAACATGACCCCCACGACGGCCCTAAGAGCCCCCCCCCCTCTCTCCACCCGACGGGCGCTGCGACGGGGTGGGGGGGGGAGGGGGGGGGCGTTGTGGCATCCGTTGGAGGGCCTCTTGCTATTCTCTTGGAGCCTTCTCGGTGGCTTCCGGAGGCGCTGGGAGAGCCCTCGGAAGGGGTCCAAGAGGGCCCCCGATGGGGGGGGCCGACGCCTGCTACAACAGGGGGGTGCGTTGTAGTATCCGCTGGGGCCCTCTTGGGGCACTCTTGGGGCCCTCTTGAAGTCCTACTCGGGCGCTCTGAAGGCGCGGGGGGGGGAGGGGCTGCAAAGGGCCCCAAGAGAGCCCCAAGAGGGCATCCGATGGATGCTACAACAGGGGGGTGCTTTGCAGCATCCGGTGGGGACCCTGTTGGAGCCCTCTGACTGATGCCAGTCGGGGCTTTTGTGTCAGATATAGCTGAACAAATCGAGTACTCGAGCGCACAAGTGGACTTGGGAAACTAATCGCTGCAATTATTTATGGAAAAAGATGCCCCCAATAAGTTGTCTTTTCTGGAAAATAAGTCCCACATAAGTTCCGTATGTTCCCAAGCCCCCCCTGAAGCCCCTACCCGCCGCGGCCCCTCGGGCTCGTCCTTGAATGGGTTGTGCAATGGAGGGGGGAGGAGGAGTAGGAGGCGGAGCGGGAGGATCAAGAGAGTGATGATGCTGCTGCTGCTGATGATGATGATGTTGATGATGATGAGGCGGTTGAGGATGATCATGCTGATGATGATGATGATGATGACGGTGATGGTGATGGCGATGGTGGCGGTGATGATTGACGATGCTTGTTTTTGTTGCCGCGCCAAGCTAAGCGCTCAGTTCACCTCCGCGCGTGGGTCGACCCACTCAGTCTCTACTTCGAGGGTCACTGAGAACGTGGCCTTCTTCGGATGCCCGTGGTCGCACTTGCTCGATGTCTGGAGAGGGCCCTCCTGAACCATACCTGGCGAGGAAGGCGGCCTTCAACCGCGGGTTCGTAACGTCCTCGATGCACTTCCACGTCTGAGTGACCTTCTTGACCCGCTTCTCAGGCGGCTGGAAAATCTCGATCAGGTAGTCGTTGCCGCCGCGCTCGGGCATCGTCTCGGGTTCGGCGCGCGCGGCCTCGGCCTCTGCCGTGGCTCTCGGCGGGCTCGGAGGCGGCGGACCCGGGGTAGTATGCGGGGCGGGCCCCGTCTCGGCTTCGGCGCGCTCGGCCTCTGTCATGGCTTTCGGCAGGAGCGGGGGAGTACGCGGGGCGCGCCTCGTCTCGGCTGCGGCGCGCGCGGCCTCGGCCTCTGTCATGGCTTTCGAGAGCGGGGGGGTGCGCGGGGCGCGCGAACGCGGGCTTGACATCAGACCGCAGCTTTGGGCCACTGGCAAAGGTATGCACCCGTATCGCTTATGCGGGGTCAGAGCGGATACGCGCGCCGTTTCAGCGGGTGAGCCGCTGTGGCGAAACCAAAATGACGATGCCAAAATGGCGGATGTATGTGATTGTCATGATGTCGATGCGGGCGCAGGAAAGAGGAATGACATGTTTTGCCCAACCATCCTGTGGTGTTGGGCCCTCGTTTTGACGAGACAGCGCCCCGCGTTCACCTCCTCCCCTCGCTGCCCCCATTCATCCTCGTCTTATTACCATCATCGTCATCATCGTCATCATCATCATCGTCATCATCGACGTCACCACCACCATCATCATCGCCCTCATCATCATCACCCATTTCGGCAGACCCCTCACGCGCTTCGTGGCCCCAGAGGGAGCTCCACCGAAGGCCCCAGTAGCAGGGTTCGCATGGCGGCCTCGGGCCATTTCGGCACACCCCTCACAAAGACCGTGGCCCCACAGGGAGCTCCACCGAAGGCCCCAGTGGCAGGGTTCGCATTGCGGCCTCGGGCCATTTCGGCACACCACTCACAATCATCGTTGCCCCGTAGAAAGCTCCAGCGAAGGCCCCAGTGGCAGGGCTCGCTCGGGCCATTTCGGCGCACCCCGCACGAGGATCGTGGCCCTATATGGAGCTCCACCGAAGGGTATAGATCACCGGGGGCCTTGGCTACCCCAGGCCCCACCCAAGGCCCTAGGCTTCCCAAGGGTAGGCCCTACCCAAGGCCCTAGGCTTCCCAAGGGTAGGCCCTACCCAAGGCCCTAGGCTTCCCAAGGGTAGGCCCTACCCAAGGCCCTAGGCTTCCCAAGGGTAGGCCCTACCCAAGGCCCTAGGCTTCCCAAGGGTAGGCCCTACCCAAGGCCCTAGGCTTCCCAAGGGGTAGGCCCTACCCAAGGCCCTAGGCTTCCCAAGGGGTAGCCCTAGGGGTGGGCCCCAGGGGTAGCCCCAGGGTAGCCCTAGGGGTAGGCCCTAGGGGTAACCCTTTATCGCGGATTACAATATGATTCCTTTGGTCGGGCGGGCGGGCGGGACATTAATAGCATTGGTTGCCTTGGTGGCGGATTGCATATATTGATTCCCTGCGTGGTGGATTATCAACTGATTATTCTTGTCGGGCGGGCGGGCGGGACACTAAAGGCATCGATTGCATGTGTGGCGGGTGGCACACTGATTCTTATTGTGGCAGATTACACATTGATTCCTTTTGTCGGGCGGGCGGGCGGGACATTAAAGGCAATGATTGCTTGTGTGGCGGGTGGCACACTGATTCTTATCGTGGCAGATTACACATTGATTCCTTTTGTCGGGCGGGCGGGCGGGACATTAAAGGCAATGATTGCTTGTGTGGCGAATTACGAATGGATTCTCTTTTATTGCGGATTACAAACTGATTCCTTTGGTCGGGCGGGCGGGCGGGACATTAAAAGCATTGGTTGCTTTGGTGGCGGATTGCAAAGTGATTCCATGCGGCAGCGGGTTACAAGTTGATTACTATTGTGGCGGATTACAAGCTGATTCTTTTGGTCGGGCGGGCGGGCGGGACATTAAAGGCATTGCTTGCTTTGCTGGCGGATTACATGTTGATGCCCTTTGTGGCGGAGTGGGAGTGGAAGAGGAGGAGAAGGGGGAGGAAGCATCCCTCCTCCCTCCTACCTCCGCACGCCTCCTCCCTCCTCCCTCCTCACTCCGTCCGCCCGCCTCCTCCCTCCCCCCTGCTCCCGCCGCCTCCTCCGCCTCCGCCGCCACCTCCTCCTCCTCCTCATCCTCATCCTCCTCCTCCCCCTCCTCCTCCTCCTCCTCCTCCACCTCCTCCTCCTCCCTCGCTACTCCCTCGATCCCCTGCTCCCCCCCCCCCGCTCCCCCTTCCGAGGGCAGGGCGCCCGCGCCGCCCCCCGGCGACCGCGGCCCCGGCGCCGCAGACCCCCCCTCGCAGACCCCCCCTCTGGGACCCCCCCTCGCTGACCCCCCCTCGCAGACCCCCCCTCACAGACCCCCCCTCTGGGACCCCCCCTCGCTGACCCCCCCATCGCTGACCCCCCCTCGCAGACCCCCCCTCGCAGACCCCCCCTCTGGGACCCCCCCTCGCTGACCCAACCCTCGCACCCCCCCCGCACACCCCCCCCCCCCCCTCTGGGACCCCCCTCTCGCTGACCCCCCCTCGCAGACCCCCCCTCCCCCCCTGCTGACCCCCCCTCGCGACCCCCTCCTCGCAGACCCCCCCTCGCTGCCCCCCCCTCTGGGACCCCCCCTCGCTGACTCCCCCTCACAGACCCCCCAGGCGTCGCAGACCCCCCCTCTGGGACCCCCCCTCGCAGACCCCCCCTCACAGACCCCCCCTCGCAGACCCCCCCTCGCAGACCACCCCCCTGGGGTAGGCTACCCTAGGCTCAGAGTCGGCCGCGCGCAGAGGGAGGGTAGCCCTAGGGATAGGGGTAGTGTAGGTTTGAAACTCGTTTCGAAACCGTAGGTTCTTGGGAGTGTTGGGGGAAACCTCAGCCACTTTCCCCTGCTCTTTTGAGTGGGGGGCTCAAGGGTGGCTCCCACAGCGGGCTCGCCCCGACGCGCGAGCCTGGGCCCCCCCGACGTGGGGCCCCGCCACGGGCGCACGGTGGCGCCCCATGCCGCTGCCGGTGGCCATGGCACTGGTGCCGGCCCTGGCTGGCCTCCTGGCGCACGGACGGCCGCGGGCGCTGCTGCCTCCGGCGCTGGTGCTGGCCCCGGCTGGGGCGCTGGAGCTCTGGGACGATTTCTGGGACTACGTACATGATCGGCGTCGTGGGGCGGCGAGGCAGGCCAACGCCAGCAGGACGGACGGGAAGCAGAAGGCCAACCTCAGCATGGCGAACGAGAGCTCCTGCGGCGCGAACTCAAGCAACGTGACGAACGGGTCGGCCGGCCCGCCCGACGACGCGGGCCCGACGGACAACACTGGCGACGGGGACGGATACGACGAGCACGGCAACGACGAGTTCCCCGGCGTCTTCATCCTCGGGTACCGCTTCGTGGCCCTTCAGCGACCCCGTCAGGCGAGCAGGCCGTTTTCTCTTCGGGCCAAGCTGGGACACCTTCATCTTGGGCGGGCGGATTGCTTTCGGCGTGGTGCTCGTCCTTTTGTGCTTGACAATGTGTGTGTGGCTGATGGAGCTCATCCAGCGGGCATGCGCCCCACTCCGTGCAGTGGCCGGTTTCCTCAGGGGCGTGTGCTGCCGCAAGGGCCAGCGTACTATACCCGTGACCACGGCCGACCAGATCAACCGTGACCCGCAGCAGGTTCAGCTCTACGGCCCGGGTCTGGAGAAGGAGCCCCCGGCGAACTTCTACCGTGACCTGAAGACCGCCCTCCGCGCGGGCAACCCCCGCCACGTGGTCTTCTCCGTGGACGGCCAGGTGGCGCGCGTCCCGCTCAAGTGGAGCGACGCGCGGACGAATGCCCACGGCCTGATCATCGACTACGACACCGTCTACGGGGCCACCTCACGGCGACTGAGGAAGGACCTGGAGAGGGCGGCCACCAAGAGGCTCCACCTCTGCCGCAAGGTGGGCCCCTGCCAGGAGTGCGAACCGTTGAAGGCCCACCTGCAGTCCTACGCGGTGGTCGCGGCCGACGCGGTGGTCGACCTCGACGACCTCGCCGAGCGCACTCCGCTCGGCTGGTGCTGCGTCCGCACCTCGCGGGGCATCCGTGGGATCCCAGGCTGCGCCTGGGGCCTCGTCCGAGGCGCCGGCGGCCTCTGCTGCCTCCCCTGCTGCTGCTGCCCGCGCCGCAGGCGCAAGCCCACGACGCCCGCGGAGGAGGGCCCCAAGCCGCGCGACGAGTCGGACACCGAGGACGAGGGCATCCCCTGCATGGCTCATCGGGTGGGCTGGCGGCACGCCGAGACGGGCCGGGTCACGCTGCTGGCCCCGCGGGTGCAGTGTGGCGACAAGGCGCTCGAGGAGAACACCACGCTCCTCACCGACGACGCCCGCGTCAGCCCCCTGACCGTCGGGACGCAGCAGGAGCAGGCCCCTCTCTGTGCCCACCACGCCGCTTTGTACCAGGGGATGCGGCGTGCGCAAGGCTGCGCCAAGGCCAAGTGCAACTCCCTGGGCTACGCACGGCGCGACGGCATCATGCTGTGCAGGCCGCACTACGACGAGAGCCAGCAGGAGAAGCGCCGGGAGGCGCAGGCCCTCCAGGAGGCACGCGACGCAGCCCTTTCCACCACCTTGGCCCACGCTGGGCCCCAGGGCACGCCGCCCCAGCCGCCGCCGCTTCAGCACGAGGGAGCAGCTCCGGGGCCCCCCTCGCCCCGTCCCCCGCAGCCCCCTCACGGTGAGGCCCCTCGGGGGGGCGGGGGCCAGTCGAACCCCCGGCTCTCCATCGCCGACCTCGTCTCCCGCCTCGACGGCGCCGACGGGGCCCCCACCAGCGCGGTGCCCTCCCCGCCGAGCGGGATGGAGTGCCTGCGGGAGTACCTCCGCGACCGCGAGCTCCACCCCGAAGAGGGAGACGCAGGCGCCCAGGAGAGGCTCCTCAACCGGTACGACTGGGACCAGACCCAGGACGTGCTGAAGGTGCTGCTGCGAGGTGCTGAGGAATACGAACGAGATGGGGGGCGCGGTCTGCGCACGCTCGAGGGCGAGTGGCGCAGCCAGCTCCGCCGACTGCGCGACGGCTACCAGGAGGCGGTGCGCCCCACCTTGGCTCCGCTCGCACCGCAGGCCCCCCCGGGCCTCACAGCGAGCATCGCCCACCCCTTCGGTGGTGGCGCCCCCACCTGGGGCGTAGGCCCCGCGCCTGCGACGAGCCCTGCCGCCCCGCGGCCCCTGCTGCCGCCTGGCGCCCCCGCCGCCTCTGCGCCGCTGCCCTCCCTGGTCGGGCGTGGCAGGACCGACCTCTACCACAACCTGGTGGGCCCCATCCTGGCCGACGGCACGCGGCACGCCCCCCCGGGCGAGCGACGCGCTGGGGTCGGAGGGGAGATCGGCCCCACCGGCGACAGCGAGATGGCAGCCGCCCTCAAGGACATCGGACTCGGCATCGAGAGCCTCGTCAAGCACAACAGTGAGTCCAAGAGCTCCAAGGGCACGCCGCAGGGCTTAGGACGAGAGGAGACGGCCCTCGTCTTCCTCGCGCGGGCCTGCAACCGCTTCAACGTCCAGGTCTGCCCCTCCTACACAGGCACGTCCCTCTACCAGGCCATCAAGGAGGCCTTCGTCACATCGAAGGGCGAGCTCTCGGGCCTCGGTTGGCCCACCTGCGTCACATCACGCCTCGCCCTCGGACTCGCGGGCCTGTACTTCGGCGCACGGGACCAGCACTCACTTCTACCACACTACTTGAGCGTGGCGGACTTCCCTAAGCACTCCCAGGAGGAGCACGACAACCACGTAGTCCCCCAGGACGACCGCCTCGAGGCCCGCCCCCGGGCTCCCGCTACGCTGGCCCAGTGGGTGAAGCAGGCGCAGAACCACGCCAGATGCTTCGCGCTGATCTACGGTTGGGAGCACTACCAGGAACGAGCCGATGCCATCGAGAAGCTGGAGAAGCTGGCCGAGGAGGACTCCGACGTCTTTCCCCGCGAGCGCATCTACGGCTGGTTCGAGGAGCTCAACTGGCGCTGGCGCGAGGATCTCAAGGACGTGCACCGCCAGCTCCTTCGGATATCAGGCAAGGAGTGGCTACGCAAGGAGCAGCTCGAGTTCATGGCCCTCACGCCAGACAGTGACGGCAACCCTCTCCTGCGCATGCCGACTTGTTTCAAGCTCGACCTGGAGGACGCCTGGTTCAGGAAGACCATCTTGCCACACCTGGAGCGGCAGCACAGCCGGACACTCTGGCGACTCACGCACAAGGCCCTGAAGGCACCAGGAGATGCTCGAGGCGCAGGTGCCGAACCAGGAGCCGAGGGGAGCCCCCGCAGGGCTTACCCCGCGGGCAAGCGCCTGCCACCCCGGGAGGCCGCCGAGTCGGTCACCCACGCGCCCATCGATGAGGTAGCCAAGAAGCCCTACTGCTGGGGCGCAGCCACGCACTGTGGCTGCCAGCGGACAGCTGCCGAGTGCGGCCACTCGCACCGCCCTTTCAAGGGCACCCTCCAGCAGCAGCATTGGACAGTGCAGGCCCAGCTGACACGCCGCGGGGGCTTGAAGGGTGACAAGCCCATCCCCCCGACCGAGGTCGACGGCCGCATCAAGCAGCTTCGGGAAGCCGCTCGCGAGGAGGCAGCCCAGAAGGTCCGTGAAGGGGTGGCCCGCCGAGGGCAGGCAGGCCGTGGCGCCGGCGACGCCTCAGGGGCCCCCCCGCGGAGCATCAGGTGGGCTCCCCCGGAGGAGCTCGTCAGCTTCGCCCCCACAGCAGCCGAGAACGAGCTCACGGAGACCTTGCGCGGCCCGGACTACAACTGGGAGCGCGACGTCGACCCCCCCGGGCCTGACACCGCGAGAGCCGTCGAGGACACCACCGCCGAGTCCCCCGAGGACGTTGGAAGGAGGCGCGAGCAGATCGCGAAGATCGCCTCGCTCCCCGAGGTAGGTCCGCTCGAGCAGTGCAGCCATCACCTCCAGTCCTACGTCAAGGGGCGCCTCCTCCATAGCTCGCTCAGGGGCGAGGACATCACCGTCGAAGGCGTGCTGGACGAGCTCGTCCGCGGAGGCCCCGCCGCGCTCGCCGAGGAGGCGGGCGACTACCTGGATCAGCTTCGGCGCGCAGGGGGGGCCCACCTTGGACCCGGCTCGGGCTACGCCGAGGTTCTGCAGCCCACCTGGCCCGCGGACGGCGGCTGCGGGATCGGTAAGCTCCTCGTGGCCGGCCTCGCGCTGGAGACGGCAGACTACCGCGACTCCATCCACGTGTCGCCTGGCCTCCGCGAGGCCCTCCAGCTCGGCGACCAGGAGCTGGAGGAGCGCCAGTGCATGGTCATCCACATCGCAGCCGGCCTCCTCGACATCGAGGCCACGAGAGGGGACGCCCAGGCGCCCGACGCCGCCTGGCCCCCTCCCACCACGGACACGCTTGCTCTCGCAGCCGACCTGAGGGAGGAGCTCTGGGCAGGGGCCTCCGAGGCCACCCGCGCCCTGGGCGAGACCCCAGAGAAGCTTGACAGAGCCGAACGTGAGGTGCGGGGCTACATACACGACGTACTCCACCCTCATCATAATAAGGACTATCGTTCGCTTTGTGCGTTCCCGCTCGAGCCCCTCAGCAACGTGATCCCCAATTTCATTCGGGTCGACTCCCTGGGGCGCGTCAACTTCGAGAGCGTGTCAGGAGCAGCGGCCAGCCCAGAGTCACCGAACTGCTGGTTGCTCATCCACCGACGGCACATGCGGCTCATCAAGCTCGGGCCCGACATCGACCGAGCCACACTGTTGGCGGACTTTGCCCAGCATGCCAGCACCTGGGGGGGCAGCCCGCCGACCGACTACGTGGCCATGGGCTGGGAGGTTCTCCTCGACCAGGCGAAGGAGTGGGCGCCCGAAGCGTTCACCCCCCAGCCCAGGACCTGCCTTTGCTGCAAGTACATCAAGAACAGGCAAGGAGACGGAGCACGTGTCGCCGGGGACGTGGCCCCCCTGGAGCCCCTCAACGACGACTACACCTTCCTGACAATCGCCGGCTGGGGCCTCCAGGCTTGGAGCCCCTACTGCAGAAAGGAGCACCCTATCCCCGAGTCCGTCACCGTCCCGGGGGACAAGCTCATCGCCCAGGAGATCATGGCGGGCACTGGGCGGTGGACTCAGGCCTGGAGGTCCCGCAGCCTGGAGGCCAGGGACCCCATCGAGTACTACGAGGATCCTCTGAGGAAGCAGGGGCCCCGCGAGGACCACAACGTGCTCCTCAAGCCGGTGCAGGACCGCCTCCTCGAGGACATCAGCAAGGGCGACGTGAACGTCATCGGTCTCGAGCCCGTGTGCACCAGCTTCTGCTCTTGGGTGCGTTGCAATGGCGGGACGCGCACCATGGCCCAGCCAGAAGGCGTCGAACCCCTCCTCGCCTCCGAAGTCACAGGCAACACGATAGCGGAGTTCTCGGCGCGAGCTTTCAAGAAGGCTCTCGACATGAAGAAGTTCGCTTGGGCCGAGAACCCAGCCCCCGACGGGATCTACCCCTCTATCTGGGATACCAAGTGGTGGAGACCGCTCCTCGACCGCAAGGACGTGATGATTATCCCCTTTGATTTCTGCGAGCACGGCCACGGCCCCGAGGACGACCCCACGGCGCGCTACCGCAAGCGCACGTGGATCGTCGCCCGTGCCTCGCAGCAGTTTGCGCGCTGGATTGCCAAGCGATGCTGCGGGCAGCACCGCCACGTGTCGCTGGAAGGCCATGCTCCAGGTTCGGCAATCCGGCGCTGCCGCACCTCACAGGTCTACCCCTGGCCGTTCGTCGAGAACCTCACCCAGGGCATCCTGGCGGGCGTCTTACCAGGAGGCTTGCGCACCTCAGGGTGCGAGACTACCGATGTGCTGGACGGTGGGGAGGCCCCCCCCCTTGCTTCAATTTCGGCGAGCTCATTGGATTTGCAAGGAGGGATGGCACAGGAACCGAGGCCGCCCGACGACAGTGCGAGGCGCGTGGGCGACTCGGGGGAGGCCAGGGCGCTGATCAGGCGCTTCGCCCTCGCCTACGTCGCCTATGCCAAGGCCCAGCCGACAGGCACGGTGGACGCTTGGAGGGGAGCCGCCGCTCGAGGCGAGGCACTGGTGGAGCTGGCGGGCAGCGTGGAGGAGGGCGCCCGCGCCCTCTTCAAGGCTAGGAGCGACCTGGGCCTGGACAACCTGAAGGGCATCTTCGACTCGGACCTGGACCGCCACCTGGCCCCGGACGCGCTGCTGTACTTGCGGGACCAGGCCGGGCACGGCGTGGCCGCGAGGGACACGGGCATCAAGGTGAGAGAGGAGTGCAAGCCACATCAGAGCGCAGCTGACGTCTTGGACCAGTGCTACGAGGGCTCCTGGAAGGACGTCCACGCCGCCCGTGTCCTCGTCCTCCCCAGGCGCCGACGCGACCTCCTGCAGGGGGTCCGCTCCTCACCGCAAGGAGCGGTCCCCAAGCAGAACCCGGACAGGACGCTCTCCCTAGAGAAGAGGCTCATCCATGACCAGAGGCGCGTCAACGAGACCACGGACAAAACATGGCATCCTCCCGCGGCACAACCGTTCCATCGACAGCTCGCCAGGTTGATCGTCTGGTGGTCAGTGAAGCTACCGCGTATCCCCATACTCCTATCGAAGCTGGACGTCAAGGGGGCCTTCAAGCTGCTCTGGGTCGACCCCCAGGACGTCGGCACCTTCGCCACTGACCTCCCTTGGCACCCGGAGGCCTGCTCGGCGCCCAGGGGCCCTGAGGAGGCCCCCGCACCGCAGACGACCGACCCGGACACGCAGCTCGACCAGCAGGTGCAGCTCTGCCTGGATAGGGGCCTCGCCGAGGGCCTCACGCTCATCTCACTGGTTCTCACCTTCGGCTGGGCTGGAAGCCCAGGCGAGTGGACACCTTGGGGCGATAGCGTCGCAGCGGTCCACAGCCAGCACGCACCGGGGAACTCGGCTTGGGAGGGGCCCTTCAAGTTCCAGTCGTACATTCTCATGGACGACCTTGTCTTGGTCGAGCCCGCCCTTGGCATGCGCCCCTGGACGTCCAGATCGCTGGCCGAGAAAACCATCGAGAAGCTGCTGGGTCCAGCCGCCGTCAACCAAGACAAGAAGCACCAGGAAGGCTACTTCTCGACGAACAAGATCGTTTGGGGACTGGAGTACCGCACCGACGAGATGCAGGTGGCCATCCCCGAACCGCGGTTGTTGAAGGGCGCCTACCTACTTAGCGACACGTGCTACGACAGCGGCTACAAGGGCGCGAGGCTCCGCGACATGCAGGTGTTGAGAGGCACGGGCACCAGCTGGATGGCGGCCATGCCGGCGCTGGCGACCGAGCTGAGAGCAGTGGACGCCTTCCTTACGCCGCAGGCCGACGGGATTCTGAGGCCCAAGGTCGAGCCGGGGGCGGAGGAAGCAGCATGGCAGGACCTGTGGGACACCTGCGAGCTACTACGACTCCTCCTCGCCCGGCCCGAGGTATGGGGGGAGCGCTTCACCGTCTCCATGTACACTCTCCTGGACGTGCGCGAGCGCCTCGCGCTGCCCGGCGAAGCAGCCAAGGTCGTCTGGGTCACCACCGACGCCACCACGTCCGTTGCCTTCGGCGCCGACTGGACCGAGAAGATCTACCTGCGGCAGGACCTCAAGGACTACAAGGGCATGCTCGGCGAGGCCCTCGGCGACTCCGACGACAGCACTGTCGAGATCGCTCTCGGCGAGGCCATGGCCTACATCGTCCTAGCCGGGCGTCAGGGACCATCGTGGAGCGGACGCATCGTGCTCCTGGCAACGGACAACATGGCATTCACGAACTGGCTCAAGAAACGACACCCTCGACCTCGACTCGTACGCCACCTTTTTAGGATTCTGCACTACCTTGAGTGCAAGTACAACTTCATGACGATCGGCCATTTCTTCCGTACCTACCACAACGTCACGGCGGACTTCGGCTCCAGGGCCAGCCAGGAGGAGGTCAAGCGCCGCATGGACGAGCTGGGCCTCTCGAGCGTCGACGCGGCGCACGAGTGGGCGGACCTCGTCGCCAACGGGGTTCGCCGCAGGGTGCTCCGCTTGCTTGGCGGCGACGCCGAAGACGGCCGGATCGCCCTCCAGCTCCGTGAGGCCCGCCTGAAGAGGAGGTTCAGAGAGGTCCCCCTCGCCACGGCCCCGGGGAGGGCCCTCGAGTGGGGCCTAGGAGCAGGTTTCTTCTCCAAGATCTGGACGGGCCTGGGGGGCACGGCGCACACCGCGCCCGCCCATCGGCGAGGACCCAGACCCCAGCGCGGGCCCCGTCTGGGCGATCCTGGCGACGCTAGGCCCAGACCCCACGGGGCGCAGCGCCTGCAAGGCGGCCAGGCAGGCCGCCCGCCTGGGCGCCCAGCGGATCGCCCTCGACGCCCCGCGGCAGCTGCCTCTGGGCGAGGCCGCTCGCAGTCTGCAGGAGCAGGGCTTCACGGTGAGCACCGAGGACCTCCTCGCGACCGAGGTCGGGGAGCTGGTGGCGCGCCGCCGTGCCCTCCTGTTGGGCACGAGGCACGTGGGCGACGAGCAGCAGGCATGGACGTTCGACACCCTCGACCTCAGGCGCCCGATTGCGCCCGCGGTCGGCCCCGTGCTGCAGCCCCCGAGCGCGCTGCCGCCCGACGCATGGCTGCTCCACGCCCGCTTCGAGGCCGACCCCCGCATGCGGAGGGCGGAGGACCGGCTCCTCCCAGTGGGCGTCGGCCACCTCTGGTCGGACAAGGGACGCGAGGTGGTCTACAGCACGGGCGGACCCCTCCCGACCATCCAGGCCGACTGGACGACACACCCACCGCCCCTGATCCGGGACTTCAAGGGCCCGGGGCACGGGGTCAGGCGCGTCACGCTGGAGGAGAGCTGGCTTGCCGTGGGTGGCACCCTAGAGGACTTCCCCACGCCCCAGGACGACGCCACGGCCGCACATGTCACGAGGCTCATCGCGGGCGACACGGGGGCTCGACTCGCCGGCGCCATCGCCCTCTGGGCGGGAGCTGCCCTTGACTGGGAAGCGAGCGCAGGCGCTTGCTTCGACCTCGACGCGCAGGCCAAGGAGCGTGGCATGCGCGAATGGCTTGCACGCTGGAGGCAGGGTCTACTGCCCGGGCGCCCGCCACCGGCCCCCCTCCCACACGCTGCACCGGGGCTACCGCCAGCACACCCCGGCGAGCCCGGCCGCCACGCAGGCGGCAGCACCCCGGGAGAGGGGGCCGACCGCCGCCCCCCGACGCGCTGCGCCATCTTCCGCCCGGCTGACGGGGGTATCGACGCACGCGCGGCGGCTCTCGCAGCGGGCCTCGTCTGGCAGGACATGGGCGGCACCCAGGACGAGCACGACGCCGCTCGCGCTGCGGGGGCGTCAACACTGCCCGAGATCGCCAGGCCCCCTCGCAAGCAGAAGATGCCCCAGCTGGGACTTGTCTCCATTTCGGCCCCCGAGCACCTCGTCGACCTGGCGCCGGACGTCCCGGTGTTCGCAGAGGTCCAGGAGTGGGTCCACAAGAAGTTGGCCAGCGGGCTGGCGCACAGCACCCGCACCAGCTACGGCGAGGCCTGGTCCAAGTGGCTCTGGTGGTGCACCCGCAGGGGTATCCCGCCGCTGTTCGAGGGCGACTCCAAGAGGCAGGTGACCGAGGACGAGGAGGAGCTCCTGCGCTTCATCGGCTACCTGGGCTGGTTGGGCAAGGGCAACGGCACCATCCTCAGCACCCTCTTTGCACTCCAGGGCGGCCACGTGCGGGCAGGAGGCGGCGACCCTCTCGTCGGGAAGAAGCGCATCAAGGTCCTCATCGACTCACTCCAGAAGGGCGGCCCGAAGGAGGAACGCAAGCTCGGCGTCACGCCGCGCATGATGATCTGGCTGAAGAAGGAGCTTAGCCCCACCCCGCCGTGCCAGGGAGAGAGGGCCACGAGGGGACCTGACTTCGACTCGGTGGTGCTCCGGGGGGCCCTCTGCACGGGCTTCTTCTACCTCTGCCGCGCGAAGGAGATCGTCGACAGCGGAGGCGTCGATGAGCAGATGTGCCTGCGCGGGGTCGATGTGGCATTCCACGACAAAGAAGGAGGTGCTGCAGCTCCTGGAGTAGGCTCGGCAGCCAAGGCCCTGATCACTTTTCGCAAGACCAAGACGGACCAGCGGGCGTTCGGAGCATGCAGGACTCACCACAGGGCCGAGGCGGAGGTCTGCCCGGTGGAGGCCCTGGAGCTCCTCCGCCTCCACGCGCCCGAGCGCTTCCAGGAGGGCTCCGAGGGCCGCCGCCCGCTCTTCCGTTGGGCCTCGGGCCGCATGGTCAAGCGGGAGCAGCTCCAGGCCGCGCTGCAGCGAGCCGCTGCGGCGGAGGGCCTGCCGCCGAAGCGCTTCAAGAGCCACTCCCTCCGCATCGGAGGCGCCTCAGCGCTGTGGCACGCGCTGGGCGATGCCGAGGCGGTCAAGAGATGGGGACGCTGGAGCTCGAACGCCTTCCACGGCTACCTCTACGACTCGGAGGAGCAGTCGAGGGGCGTCGCGGCGGCCATGGCCCGCGACGTAGCCACGCTCCACGCGGCATGACGGACGATGGCGGGTGGGCCACCTGGCCAGAGCGTGGCACGGCAGAGGCCGCGCTCAGAGCGGCCAGAGCGAGGCCGCTCAGACGGAGGTGGAGCTGGTCGCACCTCGTGCTGCAAAATGCGGGGTGAGTGACGCTCTCTCCCCTCTTTTTCTCCTCTTCTCCCCTCCGGCCCTGGGGGGCTCTTTCCCCGGGCCTGGCCCTCGTGGGCCCTCTCCCCGGGGCCTCCCCGGTGCCTTTGGGGCGCCTTCCCTCCTTTGCTCTCCTCGGCTTAGGCTTCGCCGCCGCCGCCAGTAGTTAGAAGTTTTGGGCTCGTTAACTCGTTAACTTGCTGAGTTTTGGTAGCGACCAATAACGTGTAGGTTTGAAACTCGTTTCGAAACCGTAGGTTCTTGGGAGTGTTGGGGGAAACCTCAGCCACTTTCCCCTGCTCTTTTGCCCACCCAGGGACCCTCAAGAGGCTCCTCCCACCCTAGGGCTGCCGGTCCCCCGCCTGCGTGCACGAGGTGCGCGGCGGGTGGGCCACCTGGCCAGAGCGTGGCACGGCAGAGGCCGCGCTCAGAGCGGCCAGAGCGAGGCCGCTCAGACGGAGGTGGAGCTGGTCGCACCTCGTGCTGCAAAATGCGGGGTGAGTGACGCTCTCTCCCCTCTTTTTCTCCTCTTCTCCCCTCCGGCCCTGGGGGGCTCTTTCCCCGGGCCTGGCCCTCGTGGGCCCTCTCCCCGGGGCCTCCCCGGTGCCTTTGGGGCGCCTTCCCTCCTTTGCTCTCCTCGGCTTAGGCTTCGCCGCCGCCGCCAGTAGTTAGAAGTTTTGGGCTCGTTAACTCGTTAACTTGCTGAGTTTTGGTAGCGACCAATAACGCCCTTTTATTGCGGATTACAAATTGACCCCCCCTCACAGACCCCCCTCTCTGGGACCCCCCCTCGCTGATCCCCCCATCGCTGACCCCCCCTCGCAGACCCCCCCTCGCTGACCCCCCCTCTGGGACCCCCCCTCGCTGACCCCCCCTCTGGGACCCCCCTCACAGACCCCCCCTCGCTGACCCCCCCTCGCAGACTCCCCCTCGCTGACCCCCCTCGCTGACCCCCCCTCACAGACCCCCCTCGCAGACCCCCCCTCGCAGACCTCCCCTCTGGGACCCCCCCTCGCAGACCCCCCCTCTGGGACCCCCCCTCGCCGACCCCCCCTCTGGGACCCCCCCCCTGGGGTAGGCTACCCTAGGCTCAGAGTCGGCCGCGCGCAGAGGGAGGGTAGCCCTAGGGATAGGCCCAAGGGGTAGGCCCTAGGGGTAGCCCTAGGGTAGCCCTAGGGGTGGGCCTTAGGGGTAGCCCTTTTATTGCGGATTACAAACTGATTCCTTTGGTCGGGCGGGTAGGGCAGGACATGAAATGCATTGATTGCTTTGGTGGCGGATTACATGTTGATTCCCCTTGGTAGCGGATTACAACTTGATGCCTTTAGTCGGGCGGGCGGGCGGGACATTAAAGGCATTGATTGCTTGCTTGTGTGGTGGATTACCAATTGCTTCCCGTTGGTACCGGATTACGAGTAGATTCCATCTGTGGCGGATTACAAGCTGATTCCTTCTGTCGGGCGGGCGGGCGGGACATTAAAGGCATTGATTGCTTGTGTGGCGGATGGCAAATTGATTCTTATTGTGGCAGATTGCACATTGATTCCTTTTGTCTGGCGGGCGGGCGGGACATTAAAGGCAATGATTGCTTGTTTGGTGAATTGCGAATGGATTCCCTTTGGCAGCGGATTTTAAACTTATTCCTTTGGTCGGGCGCCTTTTGCCGGGCGGGCGGGCGGGACATTGAAGGCAACAATTGCTTGTGTGGTGAATTACAAATGGATTCCCTTTGGCAGCGGATTGCAAACTTATTCCTTTGGTCGGGCGGGCGGGCGGGACATTAAATGCATTGATTGCTTTCGTGGCGGATTACAAAGTGATTCCATTTGGCAGCGGATTGCAAGTTGATTACTATTATGGCGGATTACAAGCTGATTCCTTTTGTCGGGCGGGCGGGCGGGACATTAAAGGCATTGCTTGCTTGTGTGGCGGATTACACATACTGAAGGCCCTAGGCTTCCCAAGGATAGGCCCTACTGGACACCCTAGGGTAGCCCTAGGGTACCCCTAGGGGTAGGCCCCAGAGGTAGCCCTAGGGTAGCCCTAGGGGTAGGCCCTAGGGGTAGCCCTAGGGTAGCCCTAGGGGTAGGCCCTAGGGGTAGCCCTAGGGTAGCCCTAGGGGTAGACCCTAGGGGTAGGCCTAGGGTAGCCCTAGGGGTAGACCCTAGGGGTAGGCCTAGGGTAGCCCTAGGGGTAGGCCCTAGGGGTAGGCCTAGGGTAGCCCTAGGGGTAGGCCCTAGGGGTAGCCCTAGGGTAGCCCTTCCTTGGGTGATCTATAAGTGTCCTGTTGTGCTTTACAGTCCTACTGCGCCGCATCTTGTGTTTGTCCCCCATCCACTGTATCATGATGTATGTTTCTCTGCCTGTGCGTGTTGCTTACACGCTCTGTTGTGCTTTACAGCCCTGCTGCGCCACTCTGTCCTTCTCTGTCCTGCTGCGCCCACTCGTGCTTCACGGTCCTGCGGCGGCCTCTCGTTCTCAGCTTGTGCGTTAACTTCCACGCTCCGTTGTGCTTCCCAGTCCTGTTGCGCCCCGCTGTGCTTCTCTGTCCTGCTGCGCCCTCTTGTGCTTCTCTGTCCTGCTGCGCCCTCTCGGGCTTGTCTCTCTCTCTCTCTCTCTCTCTCTCTCTCTCTCTCTCTGTTTCTCTTTCTTTCTCTCTCTCTCTCCCTCTTTCTTTTTTTTTCTCTCTCTCTCTCTCTCTCGCCCTCGCGCGCTAGTCTTTCCTTCGCTGATCCCGCCCGTCCTGCCTCCTCCCTGAGCGCTTTGCTTCCTGCCTCCTCTGCTTCTGTCTCCTTATGGTGCTCCATAACCGCGTGCTTGCTTGTCGGGGCCTTGTGCTGCTGCGCCGTGTCGCGGTGGGTCCGCGCGGTGCCGCGCCCGGGCCGCCGTTGCTGTGCTGCCGTGCTGTGCTGTCCTCGGGGTCCGTGTTGTGCCCTGCGCCGGGCCCCGTTGCCATGCCTTCCCCTGCCGTGCCGTTTCGCCCTTGTCTCCCGAGCTGGCTGTCTGGCCGCCCACGCGGGGCGTGCACGGGGAGGCGGTCAGATTTTCCCACGCCCGCTGCTGCTTCCGCTGTTGTCTTTTGTTCCGACCCTGGCTTGCTGGCCGCGCCCGCGGATCTGCTGCCTGCCCGTCTTGCTCGGGCTGGGGGAGCTTGCCCTGTCTCGATGGGCTGGCGCCGTCGTCCGGCGGCGCGCGATGGTGGGCGGGCCCGCTGGGGCTGCGAGCTCGCTGCGCATCAACTGAGGGTCCCACGACGGGTGGTGAAAGACCCGACCCTAGACGGGGGCACCCTGCGCCCCGCCTCGCCCGCATCCTCCCGGGGGCGCGCCGGGGCGCTGCGAGGGCCCGGGGGCCGGCGACGCGGGCGGGCGGCGCGCGGCGCGTCGTCGGGCGTGTGGCCGCCGCTGCGGAGCCAAAAAGATGGGCGTACCGAGGACCACCAGGCCCTGCTCGCGTGGCAGTGCGGCGGTGTCTCCGACCCACACGCTGTCTCGCTAGGTTCCTCACTCTCAGACTCCTGGTGGTTCCACTCCTGCTGCGTTCCAGAAGTTCGTCCTGCCTACGTTGACTCAATGCCTCTGGAGTGCGCTGAGGACCCAGTCGAAAACTTCTCGCGATCGAGCTGGAGCTGACACACCACGTATATGTTGTCCAATAAAGCAAATAGATGCTTCCCCTGAAGCAAGTGGGCCTGCACTTCTTGCAGGGCAGGGTGTTGGCCCAGGGCGGAAAGCGCGGGCATCAGGGGATCGCCAAGCTCACAGCCTTCTGACTGCTCCACTACGTGCGCGTCCCCGTGCTGGCCAGTCCAGAGATATTGCGAGCGGGGCCCGTAGAACATTCTGCAGAAGGGCAGTGCCCGCTCTGGTGGACAGGGCGAACTGCAATGGTGCTGTGGCTGCCTCCGCCTCCGATCGTTGATCTGTTGGGCAGCTGCTGCCGCTGCCGCGCCGCCCCTGCCACCGCCGTCGCCGCCAAGGCCGTCAACCCAGCTGCCGCCGCTGCGGCCGCCTCCGTCGCCGCCAGCTGCCGCCGCCGTCGCCGCCAGCTGTTCGCAGGGCGGTCGTCCACCTGCGGCCTGGCCTGCCCGTCAGTTGCGTCAGGGCCCGCGCCGGCTGCAGCGGCGCTCTTGGCCGCGCCCCAAGCGCAGGGCGGGGCGGCCCGGCTCCAGCTGCCTCGCCCTCCTGGCGCGCTGCTCTCTGGCAAGCCTCGGCTGCGTCGTCTCCCTCTCCCTCTCCGCTGCGGCGCTGCTGCGGCGGGGGCTTGGGCGTGGGGCCTGCAGGCGGGCGCGCGGCAGCCCCGCCCCACGCCCGGGAGGCGGGGCCCGCAGGCGGGTTCGCGGCGGCCCCGTCCCACCTCCCGCCCCCGCGCCGCTCGGCCTCGGCATCTTCCCCAGCCTCGGGCCGCTGCTGCTCGTCTTCCTCCGCCGCCGCCTCTTTCGCGCTCTCCTGCTGTTCCCCCGCCGCTGGCGCCGCCTCCTCCTCCTCCTCCTCCTCCTCCGCCTCCTCCGCCTCCTCCTCCTCCTCCTCCTCCTCCTCCCCGTCCTCCTCCTCCTCCTCCTCCTCCTCCTCCTCAAAGCTGCGTGGCAAGCAGCTGTTCAGCGCTCAGCCCTCCGCCCAGACAGCCACGACTACTACATGATTGGTGACTTCAATATCGCCCAGGCGCCGCCGAAGAGCCTGCTTCACCCCGCCGCGGACTCCACCGCCGAGCGCCACCACTACCAACCCGCCTTCTGGAAGAATATCTTCCCACAGATGATGGAGATCACTGCGAAGGCCACCACGCACCGATGCGTGGCCAACATGACGGAGGCGACCATCGACAGATGCTTCGTCTCGATCAACGCATCCAACATCCCGCTCATCGAG